ATTTTGTTACGTTACAGCCGTAAGTGGATAAAATAAAAACATCTCATCAATCTACACACAATACCCCATAATGTCAAAGCAAAAACAGGTTTTTAGACATTTTTGCAAATGTATTAAAAATAAAAACAGAAATACCTTATTTACATAAGTATTCAGACCCTTTGCTATGAGACTCGAAATTGAGCTCAGGTGTATCCTGTTTCCATTGATCATCCTTGATGTTTCTACAACTTGATTGGAGTCCACCTTTGGTAAATTCAATTGATTGGTCATGCTTTGGAAAGGCACACACCTGTCTATATAAGGTCCCACAGTTGACAGTGCAAGTCAGAGAAAAAACCAAGCCATGAGGTTGAAGGAATTGTGTCAAGGCACAGTTCTGGGGAAGGGGTACCAAAAAATGTCTGCAGCATTAAAGGTCCCCAAGAACACAGTGGCCTCCATCATTCTTAAATGGAAAATGTTTGGAACAACCAAGACTGAGCAATCGGGGTAGAAGGGCCTTGGTCAAGGAGGTGACCAAGAACCCGATGGTCACTCTGACAGAGCTCCAGAGTTCCTCTGTGGAGATGGGAGAACCTTCCAGAAGGACAACCATCTCTGCAGCACTCCACCAATCAGGCCTTTATGGTAGAGTGGCCAGACGGAGGCCACTCCTCAGTAAAAGGCACATGACAGCCCGCTTGGAGTTTGCCAAAAGGCACCTAAAGGACTCTCAGACCATGAGAAACAAGATTCTCTGGTCTGATGAAACCAAGATTGAACTCTTTGGCCTGAATGCCAAACGTCACATCTGGAGGAAACCTGGCACCATCCCAACGGTGAAGCATGGTGGTGGCAGCATCATGCTGTGGGGATGATTTTCAACGGCAGGGACTGGGAGACTAGTCAGGATCGAGGGAAGATGAACGGAGCAAATACAGAGAGATCCTTGATGAAAACCTGCTCCAGAGCACTCAGGACCTCAGACTGGGGCAAAGGTTCACCTTCCAACAGGACAACGACCCTAAGCACACAGCTGAGACAATGCAGGAGTGGCTTCGGGACAAGTCTCTGAATGTCTCTGAGTGGCCCAGCCAAAGCCCGGACTTGAACCCGATCTAACATCTCTGGAGAGACCTGAAAATAGCTGTGCAGCGACGCTCCCCATCCAACCTGACAGAGCTTGAGAGGATCTGCAGAGAAGAATGGGAGGAACTCCCCAAATACAAGTTTGCCAAGCTTGTAGTGTCATACCCAAGAAGACTCAAGGCTGTAATCAATGCCAAAGGTGCTTCAACAAAGTACTGAGTAAAGGGTCTGAATTCTTATGTAAATGTGATTTTTCAATATGTCAAAACAACTATCTTTGCTTTGTCATTATGGGGTATTGTGTGTAGATCCATTTTAGAATAAGGCTGTAAAGTAACAAAATTTGGGAAAAGTCAAAGGGTCTGAATACTTTCCGAATGCACTGTAGTAGTCTAGACGGAGGTATCCATGATGGCTAGCTCATCAGGTTTTGGATGCCTGCTGTTATATAAATAATTTCTAGAAATATAGTCAAATATTGTTGATTTTTCAAATTCCAGTTTTGGTATCACGATTAAGATAACCCAATACTAGTATATGTTGAATAACCCAAAGCTAGTATTGCAAGTGTTTTTCTGTACATGAACAGTTACTTTGCTCATTTACAGTGGGGAGAACAAGTATTTGATACACTGCCGATTTTGCAGGTTTTCCTACTTACAAAGCATGTAGAGGTCTGTAATTTTTATCATAGGTACACTTCAACTGTGAGAGACGGAATCTAAAACAAAATTCCAGAAAATCACATTGTATGATTTTTAAGTAATTAATTTGCATTTTATTGCATGACATAAGTATTTGATACATCAGAAAATCAGAACTTAATATTTGGTACAGAAACCTTTGTTTGCAATTACAGAGATCATACGTTTCCTGTAGGTCTTGACCAGGTTTGCACACACTGCAGTAGGGATTTTGGCCCACTCCTTCATACAGATCTTCTCCAGATCCTTCAGGTTTCGGGGCTGTCGCTGGGCAATACAGACTTTTAGCTCCCTCCAAAGATTTTCTATTGGGTTCAGGTCTGGAGACTGGCTAGGCCACTCCAGGACCTTGAGATGCTTCTTACGGAGCCACTCCTTAGTTGCCCTGGCTGTGTGTTTCGGGTCGTTGTCATGCTGGAAGACCCAGCCACGACCCATCTTCAATGCTCTTACTGAGGGAAGGAGGTTGTTGGCCAAGATCTCGCGATACATCCTCCTCTCAATACGGTGCAGTCGTCCTGTCCCCTTTGCAGAAAAGCATCCCCAAAGAATGATGTTTCCACCTCCATGCTTCACGGTTGGGATGGTGTTCTTGGGGTTGTACTCATCCTTCTTCTTCCTCCAAACACGGCGAGTGGAGTTTAGACCAAAAAGCTATATTTTTGTCTCATCAGACCACATGACCTTCTCCCATTCCTCCTCTGGATCATCCAGATGGTCATTGGCAAACTTCAGACGGGCCTGGACATGCGCTGGCTTGAGCAGGGGGACCTTGCGTGCACTGCAGGATTTTAATCCATGACGGCGTAGTGTGTTACTAATGGTTTTCTTTGAGACTGTGGTCCCAGCTCTCTTCAGGTCATTGACCAGGTCCTGCCGTGTAGTTCTGGGCTGATCCCTCACCTTCCTCATGATCATTGATTCCCCACGAGGTGAGATCTTGCATGGAGACCCAGACCGTCATCTTGAACTTCTTCCATTTTCTACTAATTGCGCCAACAGTTGTTGCCTTCTCACCAAGCTGCTTGCCTATTGTCCTGTAGCCCATCCCAACCTTGTGCAGGTCTACAATTTTATCCCTGATGTCCTTACACAGCTCTCTGGTCTTGGCCATTGTGGAGAGGTTGGAGTCTGTTTGATTGAGTGTGTGGACAGGTGTCTTTTATACAGGTAACGAGTTCAAACAGGTGCAGTTAATACAGGTATTGAGTGGAGAACAGGAGGGCTTCTTAAAGAAAAACTAACAGGTCTGTGAGAGACGGAATTCTTAATGGTTGGTAGGTGATCAAATACTTATGTCATGCAATAAAATGCAAATTAATTACTTAAAAATCATACAATGTGATTTTCTGGATTTTTGTTTTAGTTTCCATTTCTCACAGTTGAAGTGTACCTATGATAAAAATTACAGACCTCTACATGCTTTGTAAGTAGGAAAACCTGCAAAATCGGCAGTGTATCAAATACTTTTTCTCTCCACTGTATATGAATCTGTAGATAGTCTTTAATCATGTTTCAACATTCCTGAGGTAAAAACACAGTCTTTAAATAGGCTACTATTCCTTATACCACTTGTGTAATTACAAAAATGGCAGAGCTTGCTATTATTAAATGGTAATGTTTTTACTGTGTTACTGCACAGGTATAAGAGCAATGTTTTATCATAATCACATATTAGCCTACTGTAAATGTCGAATGAGGGCAGAACCGTGAGATAGAGAGCTATCCTCTTTGCATGCATGTACGTGTGTGTGGGTGTTAAAAAATCTAAAAGAGAAATTGTGCTGGTGTAATCACTGAGCACAAGGGATCTCTGAGAGGCAGGCAGGCAGGCAAGCAGCAATGTGATGAATTACAGGATGTAGTCTCAGCGAGCTTCATGTTGGGTGGCTCACCCTCGCCTTGCGAGGCCCAGCTACCAGAGGATGTGGTTACTTCCTGTAGTGGAGCAGCTCGGTAGAGAAAGAGAGCTGGGGGAAAACATGTTCCCTTGGTACGCTAAAACCAAAAAAGTATTTCTGCTGCAGCTACTCTTTCAGAGAGGTATACTCATTCTTATCACTATTGTCCAGTTGCTAAACTCTTTCATTTGACATGGTGTCAGTATAGTAGCTATATAGAGATAGTTTTTACTTCTGTGTAAAATCTTCTCCCAATAAATTCTGTTCAAGGTTCTGTTATCAAATTTCTGTTAGTGGACAAGTTTTATTGCATCATTAAGAGAAAATATTTTCCCTTTGGTTTCTGTAAAGTCAGTGTGCCTCTTTTTCTAATATAAGGTGATAATACCTCCCTCATTAGGTTTCCTGCCATTATTTTAATTTTAATTTTTTCAGGGTTTGAGGCTGATCAATATTTTTATTCCCCTTGTGCAATTGCCTGTACCTCTCTCCTATGCCTTTGAAACACTGTTATTGTCTGTCCCACCCTCCCCTCTCTAATGAGTAACGGAGTTTAAATGAACATGCAAATTAATTATGTCTCAAAGGAGTATAGCCAAAGATTATTTAATGGAATAGTATGAACATGCAAAAAGTATCTCAAATGAAGACAATGTTTCACACTGCTTTGATAAAAGTCGTGGTTGAGTATCAGTCAAAATTGTTGTATTATGGCTTTTGGTTACCGCCGTCGAAGGAGTATTTGGAACCTAACTGATGTACTATGATGCATTGGCTGCCTGCTCGTTAATCTGTTCCGTAGTTATCAGTTTACAAACCACTGTGATATTCTGGACACCATTTATTCTGAAGGTATGTGTGTCCACCCTGCTATAACTATAAATATTTCAAGAGATGTTTCTGATTTATAAGTTACTCTGCCAAAATGTTTAATCAAAAATAGTTTTTGCGAAGTTAGTGTGCTTATATGCCTGGCTCTGTATTGTCTTGTAGGTGCACTCCTGACCTGCTGTGAAACCCTACTGCCTGGGGTCATAGGCAGATCATGGTTCATGCTAATGCCTATAAGGCCTATTCCCCATTGATCAATCCAAAAATTACATTTGTATTAGCATAAATCACTCTAAGTAACTCTATAACTGTCTCTATAATGTAGATTGATTCTCAATCTCAAATCAATCTCAAATTCTCAATCAGAGGCATCTAATTTGATTAGCAAATATGTTGTAAATCAGTTATACCATCACATGTAACTTCTATTTCGATGGAATTAATTGGTTGTCAGTCACAGCGTACTAACTCTATCATTTTGGTTTCCTCAACAGATTAGTGTGCGAGTTACCACAATGGATGCAGAGTTGGAGTTTGCCATCCAGCCCAACACAACGGGAAAGCAACTCTTCGACCAGGTAAGAACCTTGCTTGCTCTACTGAAACATGGCAAATTACATGTTCTTGCTGTGCTTTCTTCCAATGCCAACCAGTGTAAATTGCAAGCAGGGAAATGGAAGCCCAGTTGTGGGACAGGAGTGGAGGGTCTATTTTAAGAGGAACTCTCACTCTCTCACTGTTCTCCTCATTGAGTCAAGCTGTGCTCTATGGCGTAGTCTCTAGTCTCTCCTCAGATGCAGACAGAATGTTAGTCATAGAATCCACTGGCAGCACAAAGGAACTCAATTTCCAAGACAATAAAGGCACGCTTTGTCCTGCTAACTTTTCATTTGCACTTGCTTTCCAAGTGGGCAGAGTAATTTCCCCTGGTGAACATGTGCTCGCTCGTTGACATTACACCATTAGAAATAGACTACATTACCAAAAGTATGTGGACACCTGCTCGTCGAACACCTCATTCCAAAATCATGGGCATTAATATGGTCCCCTCTTTGCTGGTATAACAGCCTCCAATCTTCTGGGAAGGCTTTCCACTAGATCAAATCAAATCAAATTGTATTTGTCACATACACGTGTTTAGCAGATGTTATTGCAGGTGTAGCGAAATGCTTGTGCTTCTAGCGCCGACAGTGCAGTAATATCTAACAAGTAATATCTAACAATTTCACAACATATACCCAATACACACAAATCTATAAAGGAAGGGAATTTAATAATATATACATATATGGATAAGCAATGACAGAGCGGCATGGACTAAGATACAGTAGAATATTATAGATTACAGTATATACATATGAGATGAGTAGTGCAAGATATGTAAACATTTTTAAAGTGACTAGTGTTCCATTTCTTAAAGTGGCCAGTGATTTCAATAGGCAGCAGCAGCCTCTAATGTGCTAGTGATGGCTATTTAACAGTCTGATGGCCTTGAGATAGAAGCTGTTTTTCATTCTCTCGGTCCCAGCTTTGATGCACCTGTACTGACCTCGCCTTCTGGATGATAGCGGGGTGAACAGGCAGTGGCTCGGGTGGTTGATGTCCTTGATGATCTTTTTGGCCTTCCTGTGACATTGGGTGCTGTATGTGTCTTGGAGGGTGGGTAGTTTGTCCCCGGTAATGCATTCGGCAGACTGCACCACCCTCTGGAGAGCCCTGCGGTTGCGGGCGGTGCAGTTGCCGTACCAAGTGGTGATATAGCCCGATAGGATGCTGTCAATTGTGCATCTGTAAAAGTTTGTGAGGGTTTTAGGTGCCAAGCCAAATTTCTTCAGCCTCCTGAGGTTGAAGAGGCTCTGTTGCGCCTTCTTCACCACACTGTCTGTGTGGGTGGACCATTTCAGTTTGTCAGTGATGTGTACACCAAGGAACTTGAAGCTTTCCACCTTCTCCACTGCGGGTCCGTCGATGTGGATAGGGGGGTGCACCCTCTGCTGTTTCCTGAAGTCCACGATCATCTCCTTTGTTTTGTTGACGTTGAGTGAGAGGTTATTTTCCTGGCACCACAATCCCAGAGCCCTCACCTCCTCCCTGTAGGTGGTCTCGTCATTGTTGGTAATCAAGCCTACTACTGTTGTGTCGTCTGTAAACTTGAGGATTGAGTTGGAGGCGTGCTTGGCCACGCAGTCATGGGTGAACAGGGAGTACAGGAGGGGGCTGAGCACGCACCCTTGTGGGGCCCCAGTGTTGAGGATCAGCGAAGTGGAGATGTTGTTTCCTACCTTCACCACCTGTGGGCGGCACGTCAGGAAGTCCAGGACCCAGTTGCACAGGGCGGGGTTCAGACCCAGGGCCTCAAGCTTAATGATGAGCTTGGAGGGTACTATGGTGTTGAATGCTATAGCTATAGTGCCATCCGTTTTGTCACCAAAGCCCCAAATACTACCCACCATTGTGACCTGTACGCTCTCGTTGGCTGGCCCTCACTACATATTCGTCACCAAACCCACTGGCTCCAGGTCATCTATAAATCACTTCTAGGCAAATCCCCGCCTTATCTTAGCTCATTGGTCACCATACCAACACCCACCCGTAGTATGCGTTCCAGCAGGTATATCTCACTGGTCATCCCCAATGCCAACACCTCCTTTGGCCGCCATTACTTCCAGTTCTCTGCTGCAAATGACTGGAACGAACTGCAAAAATCTCTGAAGCTGGAGACACTTATCTCCCTCACTATCTTTTAGCATCAGTTGTCAGAGCAGCTTACCGATCACTGCACCTGTACACAGCCCATCTGTAATTAGCTCACCCAACTACCTCATCCCTGTCACGCCCTGGCTCTGGGGACTCTTTAATGTTGAGCCAGGGTGTTAGTTCCTATGTTTAGTTGTTCTATGTGTTTATTCTAGATCGTTTAGATCTATGTTGGCCAGGGTGGTTCCCAATCAGAGGCAGCTGTAGCTCGTTGTCTCTGATTGGGAACCATACTTAGGCAGCCTGTTTTGCACAGTTGATTGTGGGATCTTGTTCTGATTAGGTTTGTGTTGGTGAACCTTTAGACTTCACGTATCGTTTTGTTGTTTTTTTGTTGGTGTAAAGTACTCATTAAAAGATGTACGCCTATCACGCTGCGCCTTGGTCTGCCTCTTACAACGATCGTGACAATCCCCATATTGTTATTTACATTGTTATTTATTTTGCTCATTTTCACCCCAGTATCTCTAGTTGCACATCATCTTCTGCACATCTATCACTCCAGTGTTAATACAAAATTGTAATTATTTTGCACGATGGCCTATTTATTGCCTTACCTCCACAACTTACTACATTTGCACACACTGTTTTTATCGCACTGCTTTGCTCTATCTTGGCCAGGTCGCAGTTGTAAATGCTGGCTTACCTGGTTAAATAAAGGTGAAATAAAAGGAACAGCATTCTTATATAGGTATTCCTCTTCTCCAGATGGGATAGGGCAGTGTGATGGCGATTGCATTGTCTGTGGATCTATTGGGGCGGTAAGCAAATTGAAGTGCGTCTAGGGTGACAGGTAAGGTAGAGGTGATGTGATCCTTGACTAGTCTCTCAAAGCACTTCATGATGACAGAGGTGAGTGCTACGGGAAGATAGTCATTTAGTTCAGTTACCTTTGCTTTCTTGGGTACAGGAACAATGGTGGCCATCTTGAAGCATGTGGGAACAGCAGACTGGGAAAGGGAGAGATTGAATATGTCCATAAACACACCAGCCAGCTGGTCTGCGCATGCTCCGAGGATGCGGCTAGGGATGCCGTCTGGGCTGGCAGCCTTGCGGGTGTTAACATGCTTAAATGTCTTACTCACGTCGGCCGCAGTCCTTGGTAGTGGGCCTCGTCGGTGGCACTGTGTTATCCTCAAAGCGGGCGAAGAAGGTGTTTAGCTTGTCTGGAAGTGAGACGTCGGTGTCGGCGACGTGGCTGGTTTTCCTTTTGTAGTCCGTGATTGTCTGTAGACCCTGCCACATACGTTGGAACGTTGCTGCGAGGACTTGCTTCCATTTGAGCCACAAGAGCATTAGTGAGGTCAGGCACTGATGTTGGGCGATTAGGCCTGGCTCACAGTCGGCGTTCCAATTCATCCCAAAGGTATTCAATGGGGTTGAGGTCAGGGCTCTGTGCAGGCCAGTCAAGTTCTTCCGCACCGATCTCGACAAACCATTTCTGTATGGACCTCGCTTTGTGCACGGGGGCATTGTCATGCTGAAACAGGAAAGGGCCTTCCCCAAAGTGTTGCCACAAAGTTGGAAGCACAGAATCGTCTAGAATGTCATTGTATGCTTTAGCGTTAAGATTTCTCTTCACTGGAACTAAGGGGCCTGAACCATGAAAACAGCCCCAGACCTTTATTCCTCCTCCACCAAACTTTACAGTTGGCACTATGCATTGGGGCAGGTAGCGTTCTCCTGGCATCCGCCAAACCCAGATTTGTCCGTCGGACTGCCAGATGGTGAAGCGTGATTCATCACTCCAGAGAATGCGTTTCCACTGCTCCAGAGTCCAAAGGCGGTGGGCTTTACACCACTCTAGCCGACGCTTGGCATTGCGCATGGTGATCTTAGACTTGTGTGTGGCTGCTCAGCCATGGTAACCCATTTCATGAAGCTCCCGACTAACAGTTCTTGTGCTGACGTTGCTTCCAGAGGCAGTTTGGAACTTGGTAGTGAGTGTTGCAACCGAGGACAGACAATTTTTACGCGCTTCAGCACTCAGTGGTCCCGTTCTGTAAGCTTGTGTGGCCTACCACTTCGCAGCTGAGCCGTTGTTGCTCCTAGACGTTTCTACTTCACAATAACAGCACTTACAGTTGACCGGGGCAGCTCTAGCAGGGCAGAAATTAGACGAACTGACTTGGAAAGGTGGCATCCTATGACGGTGCCACGTTGAAAGTCACTGAGCTCTTCAGTAAGGCCATTCTACTGCCAGTGTTTGTTTATGGAGATTGCATGGCTTTGTGCTCGATTTTATAAACCTTGCAGCAACGGGTGTGGCTGAAATAGCCGAATCCACTAATTTGAAGGGGTGTCCACATACTTTTGTATATATAGTGTACATCATGATTCTAAACTGCCTTAACTGAGGTTTGGTGATGGTGTGATGTGCAGGCAGTGGTGGTGTGTTTAAACACTGTCTTCTTAATGGGAAACACCCCTAACAGCACCTCCCCAAGGCTGTTTACACAGCCAATGTAAACACAGCAGATGTGTCTTCTCCAAGGAATTTAATGCATGAGTGGTCGTCAGTCCCTAGCCGTCGTAAGCTTTTCTGCCATGCCTGTTTGTGTGAGGAGAGGAGAGGTTGTGGTCCCACCAGTTTTACGGTGGCTCTCTCAGACACAAATATGTCATGGCTGTATGGCAGGCCAGCCTGGCCTCAGAGAATGTCTCTATTGTTTTAGCAGAGGGGCCAGACACTCTTTGAATCACCCCCAAGGCATCCATCACCAATGTTATTATGGCTGTCCTGTCATCCCTATTTCACTTAATGCTTATAATCACATTGATTTTTTGTTTCTATTACTTTTATTATGATCGATTTTTAAACGAAGTGTAGACTTTGCTGTCCTGACATATCTGTGTCAGGATGGCCCACAGACCTCTCCCTATAAGTGGCAGTTGGTGTAGTGGGCAGTCTGGGCAGGGGACTGGATGACTCCCTCCACAGCCATTAGATAAGAGTTTCCACTGTATTTTTACTCAGGCAATCAGATAGAGAGCTGTATGGGGCAGAAATGCTGGAGCACAAAGTTTAACGTGTGACTCAATTCTTATTTCAATGTAGTAAACATTTTGATAATACATAAAATGGGTGTCTTTCACTAGTTAGCCTAATGGATCCAAATCTTCTGTTTGTTTGTGTGTGTGAGAGAGAGAAATTATCTACTGATATAACAAAAAAAGAATACCAATGTCTAGGGTAGAACATGAGGAGTTAAGTTATGTTGAGCAAGTTTAAACTGCTGTTCACCATGTAGGTCCAAGCAATTACTCTTAGGAAATGGCTGGCAACTGCATTATCCCTCAGGCCAGCATTTATGCATTTATATCCAATTTTGTGTATGCATTTATATCCAATTTTGTGAATGAGTTCAGTGTGTTTAAAAATTCAAACAGTTAGCCTACTATTTTAGCATTGTCGATAGTTTTAGCTTTGAAATGGGTATTTGATACAGTATTATTTTGAAGCTGAAAATTAAATCAAGCAAGGTATTCATTGAAAAGATATGTAGAATATCTAAGTACTAAGCTAAGATGCTTCTGTATTCATAGCTCAGTAGAAGTTATTTTATATACAGTGGGGAGAACAAGTATTTGATACACTGCCGATTTTGCAGGTTTTCCTACTTACAAAGCATGTAGAGGTCTGTAATTTTTATCATAGGTACACTTCAACTGTGAGAAATGGAAACTAAAACAAAAATCCAGAAAATCACATTGTATGATTTTTAAGTAATTAATTTGCATTTTATTGCATGACATAAGTATTTGATCACCTACCAACCAGTAAGAATTCCGGCTCTCACAGACCTGTTAGTTTTTCTTTAAGAAGCCCTCCTGTTCTCCACTCATTACCTGTATTAACTGCACCTGTTTGAACTCGTTACCTGTATAAAAGACACCTGTCCACACACTCAATCAAACAGACTCCAACCTCTCCACAATGGCCAAGACCAGAGAGCTGTGTAAGGACATCAGGGATAAAATTGTAGACCTGCACAAGGCTGGGATGGGCTACAGGACAATAGGCAAGCAGCTTGGTGAGAAGGCAACAACTGTTGGCGCAATTAGTAGAAAATGGAAGAAGTTCAAGATGACGGTCAATCACCCTCGGTCTGGGGCTCCATGCAAGATCTCACCTCGTAGGGCATCAATGATCATGAGGAAGGTGAGGGATCAGCCCAGAACTACACGGCAGGACCTGGTCAATGACCTGAAGAGAGCTGGGACAACAGTCTCAAAGAAAACCATTAGTAACACACTACGCCATCATGGATTAAAATCCTGCAGCGCACGCAAGGTCCCCCTGCTCAAGCCAGCGCATGTCCAGGCCCGTCTGAAGTTTGCCAATGACCACCTGGATGATCCAGAGGAGGAATGGGAGAAGGTCATGTGGTCTGATGAGACAAAAATATAGCTTTTTGGTCTAAACTCCACTCGCCGTGTTTAGAGGAAGAAGAAGGATGAGTACAACCCCAAGAACACCATCCCAACCGTGAAGCATGGAGGTGGAAACATCATTCTTTGGGGATGCTTTTCTGCAAAGGGGACAGGACGACTGCACCGTATTGAGGGGAGGATGGATGGGGCCATGTATCGCGAGATCTTGGCCAACAACCTCCTTCCCTCAGTAAGAGCATTGAAGATGGGTCGTGGCTGGGTCTTCCAGCATGACAACGACCCGAAACACACAGCCAGGGCAACTAAGGAGTGGCTCCGTAAGAAGCATCTCAAGGTCCTGGAGTGGCCTAGCCAGTCTCCAGACCTGAACCCAATAGAACATCTTTGGAGGGAGCTGAACGTCCGTATTGCCCAGCGACAGCCCCGAAACCTGAAGGATCTGGGCCAAAATCCCTGCTGCAGTGTGTGCAAACCTGGTCAAGACCTACAGGAAACGTATGATCTCTGTAATTGCAAACAAAGGTTTCTGTACCAAATATTAAGTTCTGCTTTTCTGATATATCAAATACTTATGTCATGCAATAAAATGCAAATTAATTACTTTAAAAAAATACAATGTGATTTTCTGGATTTTTGTTTTAGATTCCGTCTCACACAGTTGAAGTGTACCTATGATAAAAATTACAGACCTCTACATGCTTTGTAAGTAGGAAAACCTGCAAAATCGGCAGTGTATTAAATACTTGTTCTCCCCACTGTAACTGTATAGAAAAATCTTCAGATTATTTTCAATTAATGACTCAACCATCATGCACTGTTACCTAAGTTAAAACCTGACCTGAAACAAGAATGTCATGTAACACTGTTTTCTCAAACAATTTAACACAGTTAACTCCTGTTAAGAGTTGGATTAGATTTTTAAAAATTGTGTGTCCTAAGGTTGTGAAGACAATCGGACTGCGGGAGGTGTGGTTCTTCGGTCTGCAGTACCAGGATACAAAGGGTTTCTCGACATGGCTCAAGCTCAATAAGAAGGTGAGCACCTCCATTTAAACAAGGATATAGTGAACAAATCTTACATGCCACCTTAAGTAAAAGAGAAACTGCTCCTGGCGCCTCCACTCATCTTTATGACCCCTGACCCTAGGTGACAGCCCAGGATGTAAGGAAGGAGAGCCCACTGCTGTTCAAGTTCCGGGCCAAGTTCTTCCCTGAGGATGTGTCAGAGGAGCTGATCCAGGAGGCCACCCAGAGACTTTTCTTCCTGCAGGTAAAGGAGGGGATCCTCAACGATGACATCTACTGCCCCCCGGAGACGGCTGTGCTGCTGGCCTCCTACGCCGTGCAGGCCAAGTACGCCGACTACAACAAGGATATTCACTTGCCAGGATACCTGTCCAGTGAAAAACTGCTCCCTCAGAGGTGAGGCCGCCACCATCTCTAGAGTCTACATAACACCTTTTGATTGCACCTCTGAATATTCTCATGTTTTTATGGTGTCATATAATGTTGTCTTTGTGTTTTTAGGGTCCTGGACCAGCACAAGCTCAACAAGGAGCAGTGGGAGGAGAGAATCCAGGTGTGGCATGAGGAACACAAGGGCATGCTCAGGTACTGAATCACACACAAACACACACACATTACTTACTTACCCCTCCTAGCTCTGTTGTCCCTGGCCTGAGAAACATCTCTATTGGTTTCAATTGAAAGTTGAATATCTCTGCACAGTAGGACATACCACATCATGGTGAAAATTGCTTAAGCTTCTCTCATAGAGTGAATAGATTTGCACTCTGAGAGCTTGATTATGTGAAAGCATATGCTGTGATGTTTTGAAGCATCTTGACCATCAACTCTTATTGACAACTATGGCAGCTACCTAGCTGGTAGTCTTCAAATAACTTAACTGCTTGTGTTCCTTCTGTGTTTTATTGTTTTTTTCATTCACTTTGGTGCATTTCTTAGATGTAAGTGGTATATTTTCAAAACTCTTGAAGGCCCAGTGCAGTCAATAATGTGATTTTCCTGATTTCTATGTATATTTCCACACTATGAGGTTGTGAAATTGTGAAAATAATGATAATGCCCTTTTAGTGTAAGAGCTGTTTGAAAAGACCAGCTGAAATTTCAGCTTGTTTTGGTGGGATGGAGTTTTGGCCTGCCTGGTGACATCACCAGGAGGTAAATTAGTTAATAGACCAATAAGAAAGAGTGTTCCAAACCTCTCTGCCAAAAACAGTTAGATTTCAGTTTTCCCCTCCCCGCTCAGACCACTCCCAGATTTATTTAGTTATTTTTACAATTTTAATTGAAAACAATGTACTTAATTGTTACCCAGAAATTATTTGATATTGAGATAAAAATGGCTGCATTGGACCTTTAAGTACAAAAATCTAAACTAGTGATGGGAAACCAAGGCTTTCTAAACCCTTTGGGGCTTTCACCAAATTGTGGTGACAATTGTTTTATTACACTGATCTTTTAACAAATTATTGACATCTGCTGAACAGGAATAAATATGAGCTTTTTAAAATGTTTATATAGACTTCTTTTCCCATTGCATCTATCAAAACTTTGTGCCGCAATGGATAGGTGTGAGCGTTGGTAAATAACATTTTGTTAGAATGTGCGGTTTGCGTAGCACATTCTACTTACCCTTTTTGCCTCCAAGTACACTATTTTTTCCAAAACTGTGCATCCGTGGTATTATTTACGATGCTGAAGACAGAAGATGATCATAGGCTACACTAAATAAAACAAATTATTTGAACAACAATGGGAAGATAGTCTGGTTTCACAGGAAATACTTTTTTAACCATAGCCATGATTCGATCTTGTGCCTATGCTGGTGTCTTATCCCAAATCCCCATCCCTACCTGCTGAGCTACCGTTTAGGTGCTATAAACTGAAAAACATCTAAGTAAATAAGGTGTCCAGTAGAGGTCGTGTTTGAAAGCAACTTTGCATCAAAGAAAGCACCAGCACCACGGTGAAATCAGTGGGATCTCGCATTTTGCAACATACGGAAGAAAATAAAGCATGTGATCAAACGAAGCTTCGGACACCATTGATCATGTGGTAATGTTACTTTGAATCTATCCGTCATTGGTCTATGCTTTGAAACGAGCAACCTAGTTTTTTTTTTTTTACAAAAAAAAAACATTTACAAAAGACGGTGGCTCCATTGCATAATTTAAGATGTTAAATAAAAAACTGAACAGCCTATGCTGTTAGAAATACAATGTAGCCAGTGTTTTAAAGAAACATTTTTTGTTGAAAATAGTTATCTATACAGCGATTTGCTGTGCCTCCACAAGACAAGAGACTCACCTGTCAGGTGAGAAATGGAGAAGAATATTTAGACTAAGTCTGTATGTAGTGTCTAGCAGAGGTTGATGTTTTGATAACCACAGTGGGATCTACTGACTGAGGGATCAAACAAAGCTTTGTACATAATTTATCAAGCGGTAACTGCTTGTCAACATTGCTTTGGGTTTGAACTCACTTTTACAGTGAGGGAAAATAGTATTTGATCCCCTGCTGATTCTGTATGTTTGCCCACTGACAAAGAAATGATCAGTCTATAATTTTAGTGGTAGGTTTATTTGAACAGTGAGAGACAGAATAACAACAAACAAATCCAGAAAAACGCATGTCAAAAATGTTATAAATTGATTTGCATTTTAATGAGGGAAATAAGTATTTGACCCCCTCTCAATCAGAAAGATTTCTGGCTCCCAGGTGTCTTTTATACAGGTAACGAGCTGAGATTAGGAGCACACTCTTAAAGGGAGTGCTCCTAATCTCAGCTTGTTACCTGTATAAAAGACACCTGTCCACAGAAGCAATCAATCAATCAGATTCCAAACTCTCAACCATGGCCAAGACCAAAGAGCTCTCCAATGATGTCAGGGACAAGATTGTAGACCTACACAAGGCTGGAATGTGCTACAAGACCATTATTCGCAAATGGAAGAAACACAAAATAACTGTCAATCTCCCTCTGCCTGGGGCTGCATGCAAGATCTCACCTCGTGGAGTTGCAATGATCATGAGAACGGTGAGGAATCAGCCCAGAACTACACGGGAGGATCTTGTCAATGATCTCAAGGCAGCTGGGATCATAGTCACCAAGAAAACAATTGGTAACACAATACGCCGTGAAGGACTGAAATCCTGCAGCGCCCGCAAGGTCCCCCTGCTCAAGAAAGCACATATACAGGCCCGTCTGAAGTTTGCCAATGAACATCTGAATGATTCAGAGGAGAACTGGGTGAGGTCAGATGAGACCAAAATGGAGCTCTTTGGCATCAACTCAACTCGCCGTGTTTGGAGGAGGAGGAATGCTGCCTATGACCCCAAGAACACCATCCCCACCGTCAAACATGGAGGTGGAAACATTATGCTTTGGGGGTGTTTTTCTGCTAAGGGGACAGGACAACTTCACCGCATCAAAGGGACGATGGACAGGGCCATGTACCGTCAAATCTTGGGTGAGAACCTCCTTCCCTCAGCCAGGGCATTGAAAATGGGTCGTGGATGGGTATTCCAGCATGACAATGACCCAAAACACACTGCCAAGGCAACAAAGGAGTGGCTCAAGAAGAGGCACATTAAGGTCTGGAGTGGCCTAGCCAGTCTCCAGACCTTAATCCCATAGAAAATCTGTGGAGGGAGCTGAAGGTTCGAGTCAGGCTCGAAACCTTAATGACTTGGAGAAGATCTGCAAAGAGGAGTGGGACAAAATCCCTCCTGAGATGTGTGCAAACCTGGTTGCCAACTACAAGAAACATCTGACCTCTGTGATTGCCAACAAGGATTTTGCCACCAAGTACTAAGTCATGTTTTGCAGAGGGGTCAAATACTTATTTCCTTCATTAAAATGCAAATCAATTTATAACACTTCTGACATGCGTTTTTCTGGATTGTTTTGTTGTTATTCTGTCTCTCACTGTTCAAATAAACCTACCATTAAAATTATAGACTGGTCATGTCAGTGGGCAAACGTACAAAATCAGCAGGTGATCAAATACTTTTTCCCCCTCACTGTACATATTAACAAAAACACTTTGAATCCAAAATGTTATAATTACCAATGAATACCAGAGCTGTTTCATTTCCAATCACTGTTTGAAAAAAATAAAAAATAATCTAAAAACAAGCTCTCTCAAGGTTTGATACTAGTGTGCTACAATTTCAGCATAGATTCCTCTGCCGTGTGGCTCTACGCCCTGAGCTATCTTTCCACCTCCTAAGAAGGTGAAATATCTCGATAAAAACAAAAGCTTCCAGCAGAGGTCGGTGCTCTCAGTTCCGACACCTGTCAGATGCTTAGAACGCCATCATCACGTGGTATTGTTACTTTGAAACAAGCATCGCCACATTGTGTCGAATCAGTAGTCCGTTGAAAACTGCATTGGCGCGTCGAAGCTCTGGTATCAATCGTCCAATCACTACTCTAAACTGATAACACTTGTAATGCCCCCTATGTTATGTTCAGAACATTTCATTGTGTATTCATTGGGGTTTAACACATCTTTCACCCCTGAGTCATTCATGCAAAATCTAGGTATTTCGTGATTTTTTTAGTGAAATAACATGAGAACATTTTACCATAACTTGACATGCACATTTATTTGTTTGCAAAATAATTTGTATCCAATGGCAGGTTGTGAGCATGTTGAGCAATACAGTTTCATGATCCTACTAGGGGTATTGTTAAGCAGTTGGCTATGGTAAAAACAGAAGGAGTTTGGATGGGTGATGAGCTTTCTAAACCTCTCATCCATATAGAAATTAAAGATTAAATGAAAGTATTCAGACCCCTTGACTTTTTCCAAATTTTATTAGGTTACAGCCTTATTCTAATTGTTTTTTTCGTCCTCTTCAATCTACACACAATACCCCATAATGACAAAACAAAAATAGTTATTTAGAAATTTTTGCTAATTTATTTAAAATAAAAAACGGAAATATCAGATTTACAGAAGTATTCAGACCCTTTACTCAGTACTTTGAAGCACCTTTGGCAGCGATTACAGCCTCGAGTCTTCTTGAGTATGACGCTACAAGCTTGGCACACCTGTATTTGGGGAGTTTCTCCCATTCTTCACTGCAGATCTTCTCAATCTCTGTCAGGTTGGATGGGGAGCGTTGCTGCACAGCTATTTCCAGGTCTCTCCAGAGATGTTCGATCGGGTTCATGTCCGGGCTCTGGCTGGGCCACTCAAGGACATTCAGAGACTTGTCCCGAAGCCACTCATGCGCTGTCTTGGCTGTGTGCTTAGGGTCGTTGTCCTGTTGGAAGGTGAACCTTCGCCGCAGTCTGAGGTCCTGAGCACTCTGGAGCAGGTTTTCATCAAGGACCGTTCATCTTTTCCTCGATCCAGACTAGACTTCCAGTCCCTGCTGCTGAAAAACGTCCCCACAGCATGATGCTGCCACGCCATGCTTTACCGTAGGGATGGTGCCAGGTTTCCTCCAGACGTGACGCTTGGCATTCAGGCCAAAGAGTTCAATCTTGGTTTGATCAGACCAGAGAACCTTGTTTCTCATGGTCTGAAAGTCTTTAGGTGCCTTTTGGCAAACTCCAAGCGGGCTGTTATGTGCCTTTTACTGAGGAGTGGCTTCCGTTTGGCCACTCTACCATAAAAGCTTAATTGGTGGAGTGCTGCAGAGATGGTTGTCCTTCTGGAAGGGTCTCCCATCTCCATAGAGGAACTCTGGAGCTCTGTCCGAGTGACCATCGGGTTCTTGGTGTCACGCTCGTTGAATGACGGGTCAGACCAAGGCGCAGCGTGATATGCGTACATGTTTATTAAAGTATTAAACAACACGACAAAACAACAAAGGAAACGAAACGTGAAGTCCAAGGTAGAACACACAACATACCTCACACGGAACAAGATCCCCACAACAAGACAGTGCCAATAGGCTGCCTAAGTATTGTCCCCAATCAGAGACAACGAGCGACAGCTGCCTCTGATTGGGACCCACACCGGCCAACATAGAACTAGACATACTAGATCCTATACATAGAAAAGGCACAACAAGAAATATACACACCCTGACTCAACATATATGCGTCCCCTGAGTCAGGGCGTGACAGTACCCCCCCCCCCCCCCAAAGGTGCGGACTCCGACCGCACAACATAAACATAACAGGGTAGGGGCCAGGTGGGCATTCCGCCTCGGAGGCGGATCCGGCTCAAGGCGTGACGACCTCTCACTCTCCGCCTCCCTGTTGCGCCCCTGGTCTGGTCTAGACCTCGGCGCGTTGCTTCCCCACTCGGACTGGCGACGTGCACCACTGGCTTGGTGCGAGGGGCAGGAACGGGCCGGGCCGGACTGGCGACGCGCACCACTGGCTTGGTGCGAGGGGCAGGAACGGGCCGGGCCGGACTGGCGACGCGCACCACTGGCTTGGTGCGAGGGGCAGGAACGGGCCGGGCCGGACTGGCGACGCGCACCACTGGCTTGGTGCGAGGAGCAAGAACGGGCCGGGCCGGACTGGCGACATGCACCACTTGCTTGGTGCGAGGAGCAGGAACAGGCCGGGCCGGATTGGCGACGCGCACCACTGGCTTGGTGCGAGGAGCAGGACTGGGTTCCTTTATTAACCCCCGCTCCTTCTGCTGCCTAACCAGCTCCTCTCGCCGTGCCTCTACTCTTTTCTTCTCCCTTTTAGCCTCCTTTAGCGCCTCCCTCTGACCGAATAACTCCTGCTCCCTCTGAACCAATAGCCCCCGTAACATGGTGGCCTCCTCTCCTAACCTGCAGATCCGCCCTTTAACGGCCTCCTGCTGCCTCGTCGTCCACACCGTGTGCCCCCCACCAACATTTTCTTGGGGTTGCCTCTCGGGTCTCCATCGTCGGCACTGTTGGCGCCGTTTCTCCTCTCCTACCTGGGCATCCTCCTTCATCGCCCTCCGATAACGGACGGCCTCCTCCTCCGTAATTCTCCCCCAACCGAGGAGGACATCTACTAACGTAACCTCCTGTTGAGTCCCAGGCGTTTGCTCCTTCTCGGCACGCTGCTTGGTCCTTGTTTGGTGGGATCTTCTGTCACGCTCGTTGATTGACGGGTCAGACCAAGGCGCAGTGTGATATGCGTACATGTTTATTAAAGTAATAAACAACACGACAAAACAACATTTAAGAATGATGGAGGCCACTGTGTTCTTGGGGACATTCAATGCTGCACACATTTTTTGGTACCCTTCCCCAGATCTGTGCCTCGAGACAATCCTGTCACGGAACTCTACGGATAATTCCTTCGACCTCATGGCTTGGTTTTTGCTCTGACATGCACTATCAACTGTGGGACCTTATATAGACAGGTGTGTGCCTTTCCAAATCATTTCCAATCAATTGAATTTACCACAGGTGGACTCAAATCAAGTTGTAGAAACATCTCAAGGATGATCAATGGAAACAGGATTCACCTGAGCTCCATTTCGAGTCTCATAGCAAAGGGTCTGAATACCTATGTAAATTAGGTATTTCTTTTTTAAAATATATATCTATATATAAATCTGCACTACATTTCTAAAAACATGTTTTTGCTTTGTCATTATGGGGTATTGTGTGTAGATTGATGAGGATTTTTTAAAATTTAATCCATTTTAGAATAAGGCTGTAACGTAACAAAATGTGGAAAAAGTCAAGGGGTCTGAATACTTTCCGAAGGCACTATACTTCCATTCATTTTTTAAAAACCGGTACCGTTTACCTTCAGACGAGTCCCGTGACAATTGATGATGTAGTATTTACAGCCACGTCCATATATTATTTGGTTTTACCTTCCAACATAAATTGATGTCAAATTGATACATTTATTTTACAGTGTTTAGCAGTTATCAAACTATATACATGTATGTAAACTAGGCCCTACATAATTTTGGTTCAGTAGTTATCAGTTTTGAACTGTTTGATTAAGGGATAGTTAAATGTATTGTTATCTAAAGTAATGTGAATATTACATTTTGAAAAGCAGATACCTAGATGTAATATGTATGCAAATTGGAAGAGTGATTTGGTGCAGTGAACAAATTACTTTGTGACTTAGTTTTTTTGTACTCAGTCAATTGAAAATGTACTCAGAATTTTTGAAACATCTGTTTTGATTTTTGTGCTTACAGTTGTGAAAATGTACCATATACTTGTGAACATTGCACCAAAGTGATTGGAAAAAAAACAGAAGGATTTAATGTAATTTGTAATACTTGCACAGAGAGGATTCAATGATGGAGTACTTGAAGATCGCTCAGGACCTGGAGATGTACGGTGTCAACTACTTCAGCATCAAGAACAAGAAAGGATCAGAGCTGTGGTTAGGAGTAGACGCCCTGGGACTCAACATTTACGAACAGAATGATAAGTGAGTGACTCATGTCGAAATATACACCACAGGGGTACTCACACATATGGGACTGAAATGTGTTAAACATATGCTGTACAAACACAGGTCCAATGGTTGTTTTCTGATTGTGACTAAGTGCAAAAGAGTGCAAATATCACTGTGTTGATATCTTATTTTTGCCTCAACAGGATGACACCTAAAATTGGATTCCCATGGAGTGAAATCAGGAATATTTCCTTCAACGACAAGAAGTTTGTCATCAAACCCATTGACAAGAAAGCTCCAGTATGTAACCACCAATGCCCTCTCTGTACTTATCCATAATTTATAAGGTTATACAGTATTATACAGTATCTCCTAGGGAGAAAAATAATTGTTGTTGCCATAATTATTTTTTGAGAGATTGCTGGTATAGACTGGTCTCATAGACTAGACATAACATAGTAAATGTAGATCTGGGACACTGAAATTAGTATGATATGTCACATATGGTATGGTTACATAAGATAGAAGGTTACTTGAGGCAAAAATGAATGTTTAGCAACTCAAAGGTTGCATGTTCGAATCTCATCACAGACAACTTTAGCATTTTAGCTAATTAGCAACTTTGCAACTACTTAGCTACTACTTTTTGGCTACTTTACAACTACTTAGCATGTTAGCTAACCATTCCCCTAACCTTAACCCTTTTAGCTAAACCTTCCCTAACCCTAACCTTAACCCTTTTAGCTAACCCTTCCCCTAACCTTAACCTAACTCCTACCCCTAACCCCTAGACCTAGCTAATGTTAGTGTTAGCCACCTAGCCACCTAGCTAACATTGGCCACAACAAATTGGAATTCTTAACATATCATACGTTTTGCAAATTTGTAACATATTGTACGTTTTGGAAATTCATATTATAAAAAATGGATGATGGACATCCACAATTTAATACATACCATACGAAACTTAACATTTCATACTAAATGGAGATTTATGTATAAAATAATACGAAATGCTCTGAGACCATGTTGGGTAGTCACACATGCTTTCTCTCCTAGGACTTTGTATTCTATGCTCCACGACTGCGTATCAATAAGCGCATCCTGGCACTTTGCATGGGCAACCATGAGCTGTATATGCGTCGCCGCAAACCAGACACTATCGAGGTACAGCAGATGAAGGCCCAGGCCAGAGAGGAGAAGAACCACAAGAAGATGGAGAGGTCAGTGTCACCACCACCACACTCAAGCTACTGCTAACATGAGTCTATTTCAAGACATCAGACCTACTCCTGCCTCTGTATTTGTATCGTCCTTGTACAGGCCCAACAGCAATGCTCAAAAATAAATCTGAACATGAAGGGCATTTAATAATTTCTAACATTAACATCACAGCAGACTGTTGTGGGTGTCAACTGGTGGCCACTGGCCAGACATGAGGGTCTTTGTTATGAGTGGATTTTTCTTAATAAATTCCCTCTAACTTCAGTAGCCATCAGAACAATGACAGATCTATTTAGCTAATGTTTAGGTTGGCCTATTGTCTGATAAAGGCTTGACAATGTTAGGAAGTTGTCCATGTTCCCTCCCTTCTATCTCCCTGTTTACTCTACGGCCTCTGTCAACCAGGGCACTGCTGGAGAACGAAAAGAAGAAGAGGGAACTTGCTGAAAAAGAAAAGGAAAAGATTGAAAAGGAAAAGGAGGAGCTTATGGAGAGACTGAAACAGATTGAGGAACAGACGAAAAAAGCTCAGCAAGGTTGGAAACCCCTATTTCTGTAGTATGAATAAACAAGAGAAAACCGATCTATTATCTTTACTCTTAGAGCTGGGAGTCTTAGAAGTGTGGTTGTTCATTGCATATTATTGATTGTTGTCTAAATACACATAAGTTGTGTGTGTTCACCCCATACAATGTAAAGCACTGTCAGACCTAATTTAACCTTTATTTATGCAACTTAGTCTTGTTGAGGTAAAATAGGTTTTGCAAGAGAGATTAATGAAAGCCCTAGCTACAATACAAGTAATCCATTCTGTCTATTATCATAATTCCTGTGTGTGCAGAGTTGGAGGAGCAGACACGGAGGGCCCTGGAGTTGGAGCAGGAGAGGAAGCGTGCTCAGGAGGAGGCGGAGCGTCTGGAGAAGGAGCGCAGGATGGCTGAGGAGGCCAAGACCGCCCTGCTCCAGCAGTCTGAGAACCAGATGAAGAACCAGGAACACTTGGTGAGTTACACACACACATTACACACATTAATGAACAGCACATGCAGCATTAGCATGTAGTATTGTGCTACAGAGTGATGAGCTACTGAGTAAAGTGATGCTTGTTAATTACTGTTGTTCATTTATTGGAATATAACACATCAATTATTATTTTCATTGTACAGAAACATGTATTATCATGATAGTTAATATTCAAATTCTATAAATGTATGAAAATCATTGTTTAACTTTGTAAGTTTTCTAACTGTGGTAGTCTTCACATGGTTTGGAAATGAAAATAAGCAAACATCTGTTGAACCTTTCAAATCCAAATTCATGGCAAGAAAGTGAAAATAAAAATATGTTTCCACAGGCCACGGAACTGGCTGAGCTGACCTCAAAGATCTCCCTACTGGAGGACGCCAAGCAGAGGAAGGAGGATGAGGCAACGCAGTGGCAACAGAAGGTGTGGTCTCAGCTACTGCTCTCTTCATTTACTCTGACCTCCACCACCTTCTCAAATGGATTAGTCCCATGTGTAATTAAACTATAGTCAATGTTACAGTAATTCATCCATTAGAAAAAAATAGGATGAACCATAGCCTAACATTAAAGCTTAGCCCTGATTTGCTTTTTCTGAAGTTATAGCAGTTGGGCACTGTTTGTTTTAAGAGGCCATACTTAGACTCCCTCTGGTGCAGGGCATTGCTCCATAGGAAGGGCCCCTCCTCTCCCCCATGTGGGCATGGTGACTCATGCTGTGGGCCTGGCTGTAAGGGGAGGTTTCTCTGTCTACACTAGGGAAATCCTGTTTGCCTGGGATGATCTTTTTCACCCCATTGTGATATTTTCCCTATTTTAGCATTTGAAAGAATGCAAATCTAAATGGCAGGACCCAAATGTCCTGTGATTGTGCTGTCTAGAACAAACCCCCCATTTTCATGCGATGGATTTATGAGCTTAGACTGTCACTGATTGGTGCACCTGTCACCCAGGAAATGAATGTATATTTTGGGTCCATTAGGACTGTAGAATCTTACGGACGTCATATTTCTTCTGCCAGGGGGCAACAGAATCAGACAGGTGAAAGATTGGCTAATACTGTGCTGTGGTGACACAAAATTCCTTCTCCTGAATCAGTTCATACTGCCTGAGGGCACACACTTAGTGTGTTGTGAATTCTGTAATGAATGTATTGTAATGTTTTTAAAATTGTATATCTGCCTTAATTTTGCCGGACCCCAGGAAGAGTAGCTGCTGCCTTAGCAGCAAATCAAATCAAATCACCTTTTATTTGCCACATGCGCCGAATACAACAGGTGTAGACATTACAGTGAAATGCTTCCTTACAAGCCCTTAACCAACAATGCCGTTTTTTAAAGAAAAAGTAAAATAAATGGGGATCCATAATAAAGCTAGCTGGGGATCCATAATAAATACAAATACCATGAGTCATTAACATTAGTGGCTATTCCCCTTAGGCCTGCATGGTGCAGGAGGACCTGGAGAAGACCAAAGAGGAGCTGAACAGCAAAATCATGGCGTCCCACATACAGGAGCCTATGCAGGCCGAGAATGAGCATGACGAAAACGACGAGAGCAGCGACCAGGCCAGCGCCGAGTTCACGGGCGGCATCTCCTACAAAGACCGCAGCGAGGAGGAGCGCATGACCGAAGCCGATAAGAATGAGCGCGTGCAGCAACACCTGCTGGTGAGTGACTGACTGTGGCTGCTGTCCACATCAAACACCTCCAGCACTAGAGAAACAGCTGTTTATAGGGGTTGCATCACTGTTTATGATATTGTGGAGATTACAAGAATGGGGCCTATAAACATGTCCTGTTATGCCTGTGTTGTTGTGTGAGCCGTAGTGGGACTTGGCAGTAATGTTATGTTTCCTCTACCAGGCTTTGAGCTCGGAGTTGGCAATCGCTCGGGATGAGACCAAGAAAACCGCAAATGACATCATCCATGCAGATAACGTGAAAGCAGGACGGGACAAGTACAAGACCCTCCGGCAGATTCGGTCGGGCAACACCAAGCAGCGTATAGACGAGTTTGAGTGTATGTGATGTATCTTGTTTGCAACTGCTATAGCCCCCCACAGCGGTGCCATACTTGGTCCATTCATTCTAGACTGCAGATCTGCCTTACACAAGCTACAGTGCCTTTTACCCAAACAAGACCATAATACATATCAAAGAGCAAAAACAAAGTACAGCAAAATGTATATGAATAATGGTGCACAAATCACATTACAAGTGATGTAATTCAGAATTATGAAATAAGTGGATGCATCAGGGACATATTTTATAGAAGAACGGTTTAAAGTGAATAAAATTTGATAATACATTTTTCCAGCCTTTTAATTTTGGTTATAGATGGAGGAAGGTGTTTTTATTGATTATAATTTACAAGTTATTTTTAAGTGATTCATCCCTCACACTGTTTTAAACTAAAAATGAACAAAACAACTCAATTCAGGACAGCTGCAATTTTAGTTACGTTATGGTTGGCCACATTTTAGGTGTCATTGTTTCAGAGTAGGTTTGTTTGTTTTTGAAGTGGACCGTTTACTGTAATTATTTTCCACAAATGAAGAGAAAACATCAAACTGTAATTAGATTTTTGTTTTTTATTCTATTCTAATTTTAGGCATTTAGAGAGATTGTTGTCTTTCTATAGTACAGTATTACTTTTACATAATATTTTATTAAGTCCATATGAAATAAGCGCTGGAATATCACATTTTCCTTTTTCAGAGAGACACATACCTCTGAATGACTCTTTATAGACCAAGTGTATCTGCTATGACATATAGCCATGCACACTAGTAGCTACCATGATTAGGAGTTTCTTTTTGCATATCAATCTTTTGCTAAATCTTTTATTATATGGCATTTGAAGCAATATGATTCTAAGGCCTGCCTTGAAGGATTTATTTTGTAATTTGGATTTTTCAATAAAACAAGTTATGATGTGTAAAAAGATGGATGTCTTATGAAATGTTAAGTTGTCCGCATGCTTCCCGTCCGAAACAGTTTGTGCATATATTATGACGACATTTTGTGACATTTTGGTCTTCGGCAAGGTTTGTTTCGGCTGTTCATGCACACAATTGTCTTTTCTTGAGGCAAGCTGAAGTTCGGTAACCGAAGTCTATGCCCCTTCATCTATGATTGGTTAATGGTAGGGATTCTTCAATGAAGTGTTTGTTGTCAGTCAGCGAGAGACAACTCGTTTTCATGCAAAAAAAAAAAACGAGAAATACTACAACAAACATCTTAGTTAGATGTAAAATTGCGCGACTAAGACCTCGGCAAAAACAGCAAAAATAATTACAGATTTCTTTAGTTATTTTAGATTGATTGAGAAAGTTTTGAGGAAGTGTATACTGGCTACGGCGCCTCGAGGGACAAAGAGTACCATTGCAGCTTCTTTCTCGTTTTTCAAGCGAAGGTCTTTTAATGGAGTATGCGCGTGACACGTTCACGTCGCCTAGCTGAGTTCGGCTAGGAGCAAACCAAACCTAGTATGCAGAAGTTTTAAGTGTCCCGCTAGCCTTTTGTCAATTAAATTATATGAATGACTGGAAGCCACCAGCCAGAATAAAAACAAGGATGAATATTGTAATTGTTACAGTACCAGGCAGTGCCTTGCCTTCAGCAGACATTTGCAGCTTGAGTCTTCATTTCAACTGTCATTAAAAGCGGAAACTACACAGTTTTATGCGTTATGTACTCCTGAGTGGCGCAGTGGTCTAAGGCACTGCATCGCAGTGCTAACTGTGCCACTAGAGATCCTGGTTCGAATCCAGGCTCTGTCGCAGCCGGCCGCGACCGGGAGACTCATGGGCGGCGCACAATTGGTCCAGGGTAGGGGAGGGAATGGCCGGCAGGGATGTAGCTCAGTTGATAGAGCATGGCGTTTGCAACGCCAGGGTTGTGGGTTCAATTCCCACAGGGGGCCGGTATAAAAAAATATATATATGTATGTGTTCACTAACTGTAAGTCGCTCTGGATAAGAGCGTCTGCTAAATGACTAAAATGTTATGTTTTCCCTTTTCACTGATCTCAGAAACTGGAATTTTGGGCAAATGCCGGATGGGCTGGTCCATCTTTAGCACAATGGGCATGTCCAAATAGGTGTTTTTGCGCAGATTGATCATTATTTCGCTGATAATTGTGGTCTCAATGAAAAAAAAAATATATTGGATGTGAAATTTCGAGGTTGCTCCAAATGTCGAAACTCAAAGTGTTTTTAACACAGTGGGTTGACTCCTTCTCAGTATCATTCTGTTTCTCCAAACATCACATTTTTAAGTTGCTCCAACCATCGAATTTAGAAGGTTATGGGTTAAGGTTTTGGATAGTGTTTAAAAAAACTAAAAAAACAGGTGTCAACCTGTGGAATTGAACATGCAACCTTTAGATCCAGAGTCAAGCCTACTTGATGGTAATTGCGCTCACTGTTGCCCCTAGTGACCGGTTTTGAAGGTATTTCCCGACGTCCTCGGGACATGGATAGACATCCAAACGTTCTGTGAGTAGCAGCCATAGACTGTAACAAGCAGGGCATATATGAGCGCATCTGATGCAGATTAGGGGAGATGGGCACTGTACCGGGGATATAGGCTACTGCATGGGCGGATTGGCCATCTGGCAATTCTAGCAAAAAATGACAAAAAACAACAAAAAGAGGACACAGGCCTGTTAAGGTATTTTTTAAATGATTTTTTAGTGGTTTTCTCTGCTGTCATAATAATATATATATATTTTGAACATTTGCCTGATCAGAGGGCAACTGCCGGCCCCCTCTACCAAGATGGGCTGGCTCGGTTTTCTGATTGGCTGAGCTGAGTCACATTCAAAGTCAAACACGCATCAGCCCAGATAATGGATCATAAAACACGGAAAGGTGGTGCTGAAAAAGTTAGAGAGAACACAAAAAGTATCTTGAGGCCAACGCTGCTAAATGTGTGAAATTAACCAACTTATTTTCGAAAAGTTCTGATTCTGCTGGTCCAGGTGCTGTGACTGTGTCTGTGCTGAGAAATGATGCTAGGCTTAGCACTGACAGATCAGTGGCTGCTAGGGAGAAAACAGAAAGACACACACACTGACACAGATTAAGCCTACTGCTGCCAGTTGATATTTTGGCTGTATATTGTATGAAATAGTAGGCTAATTAACACTTAGGCCTAATTAGGGAACAGGGGATTCGGGAGAACACATATGACAGGCACTAACATGCAATAGCCTAAAAAGTTGTTAGATTTACTTTTATAACACATAAACCAATAGCAGTGCTACTGCTTTTTCTTAAATACAAGCAGTGGTGACCCGTCATTCAGGGCAGGTGGGGCAGAGCCCCCACCTGTTTTTTGTTTTTTTTTGCCTGTTTTGCATGCTATTTTGGCATTAATACGTTTCACATATCAGTTTGCAAACAATGTAAAAAATTAATAAAGCCGAATACAAACATGGTCTCTTTTTTTGCTTTCTTGAGTAAGGCAGCTCCAAAATGCAGGTGTTTCAGCCTAGCTCAGTGCTTTCTGTGGTGGTGGGGCAGCCAGTGGAAAATACGGAGCGTAGGGGTTGGTAATGTTCTCTAGTTGCGCCGTGATTGGGTCAGTGTTCTGTCACTCATGGGGACACTACGTCACTGCAAAATCTACAGCCCCTTGGGTGCTGCCATAGATTTATATTAGAAGTGCCCATCCAAGAAGGCTCAAGGTCATTGGCCACAGATAAAATGACGTCAAATCACGTTACATCTACCGTAGCTTTGATTGGACTGGTCATGTCAACATCATACATTCAAAATTGTAGCTAGCAAGCTAGACAAGCAGTCATTATCATGAATCAAATCGACAATCTACTGGCAAATCCTTCTCAATCCTTGTCATATGATGAGAAATTATAGATAAAATGTATCAGTGCTCATCGGCCGTTGGACATAAACATTACACAACAAGTTGGAAATTGTTGCAAATTCAACAATGAGTGGTTTGGAATGAATCAGTGGCTAACTGCAAGCATTGCAAAGCAATCACTAGCCTGCTATTCAGTGGAGTGGGTGTGTGGTCCAAGTCTGGGTTTAAGGGTCTCTTTTCCAAGCTTAAAAGGATAAACATTCACATACAACACCATGGGCCAGAAAAGGTTGAATACATTGGCCATGCTGTCAATCCAGCATGACTTCTGCCGTGTTCAAAACAACTGGAAACTCAGAACTGGGAAATCTCCGACTTCAGTGAGTTCAAGACAACTGGGAACTCTGAAAAAAACTAGCTCCAACTTGGAAAATACGTTTTGAACGGCCATCCAACTCGGAATTCCAAGCTGGGAACTCGGGCCTCTTTCTAGAGCTCTGACCTAAAGATCACTGACGTCATGATTCAACCTTGTTTTTTTCAGAGTTCCCAGTTGTCTTGAAAGTACCATAAATCCAGAGAATGCCAGACTTTGATGACAAAGTTTGATGACAAAGTGTACCCACAAGAAGGACTGCCGTGCCACCTTCCCGTTCAAGTGAGCACAGAACAACAAGGTGAGTCCAAAAATGTCTTGTATGCTGCTGCATAATGATGTAATATGCCAGGGAGATATGTATACTGTAGCTAAGGAAGTAATACTAAGTGTACAGTATGTTATGTAGTAAGCTGTTAGTAGGCATGTGCCTCACCCTAATAATTTGGTCCATTTCCCCCTCATAACTTAGCCTACTGTTCTGACTTGGTGGTGCACATGTAGCCTATAGCCTGTTTCAGAGAAATGTAATCATTGAGTATTGTAAGAGCGTTCATTGTCTGCTTATATGCCCCCTTTATTTATCCTATGGTTCTGACTTGGTGTACAGGGAGAATACTGTAAGAACGGCCCATGTTCTGAATTCTGTCGCTGTACATTTCAAAAGTGCTGAACAAATGGTTATATTGCCTACGTCCGTCCTAGCTCGTTCATTAATGTCTTAATTGAAATTACGGATTGCCTCTTATCCGCTCGTTGTTCCCTTATGCCATAGTTTGTACATCTCAGTTGTCAGTAGAAACCACATTTGTTTAAGCAAGTCAGCCATATCAGCTGTTTCGCTGCCAGACAAGGCTTCACTCCATGGTGCTGAAAAGAAAGCTCTGCTGTTGGGACAGCTTTATGTAGGCCCTAACAGTTTGTGGGCACCGTTTTTCACTGTTATAGTGCAGTTAATGTATTGTTTAGTGTTGTGTAGTGTTGTGTAGTGGCTTTGCTGGCATGCGTCTAAAACATTTTTGGGGAGTTTGCCCCAACAAGATTTACATGCTAAAATCGCCACTGAATACAAGTCATAGTTTAGTACAATGAAACACTGAATTCATGCAGAATAATTACTAAATTATCTTCTGTTAAAGGTCAATTCGGGGACTGTGTATTTTAATTTGTATCCATGTTTATTTGCTTCTGTATCTGTCTCTTCAGCCAGCGAGTAGGTCTTAGTCGGTCTGGTGTCGGATTACATTACATTCCACCGCAACTGGAGGCTGGAAAGTCGCTGCCAAAGGTGCTTCAACAAAGTACTGAGTAAAGGGTCTGAATACTTATGTAAATAAGGTATTTCTGTTTTTCATTTATAATACATTTGCAAACATTGCAAAAAAACTGTTTTCGCTTTGTCATTACAAGGTATTGTGTGGAGATTTATGAGGGAAAAAAATAATTTAATCAATTTTACAATAAGGCTAAAACGTAACACAATGTGGAAAAAGTCAAGGGGTCTGAATACTTTCCGAATGCACTGTAAGTGGGCAGTGATTTTGATGTATTAGCGACATCAAAATTTTGATGTACTAGCGACAGCTAGTCTTACTGGGGTCCGACATATAACGAAAAATACATTACAGACAAAATACTTTACAATTTACATACATTTAAAAACATTAACATGTAGTGTGTGTGTGCATCTATCAGTTACCCATACTGTACATGTCAGTACATACACACAACAAGTAGTCATCTATAAGCCATTCATTCAGTGATGTTCTTCTTTCTTCAATGTGTTTATTCATTCTTAACTAGGATGGGTAATACTTTATTTTAAGGGTCTGTTATAAACCATTTATAAGGCATTTATAAATTGTGTGTTCACCTTTTATTAATCATTACTCCCACATTAATAAACAATTTACTAATGATTAGTAAAGTCTTTTTGCAGTCCCTAATCTAAAGTGAGTGCTATTTATACTTTATAAATACTTTATAAATATTTTGAGTGACCAGTCTAATTTCTCACAAAAAGATGGGCATGCCATTGGTAGCCATTCCTGCAGAACCTGGTAAAAGAATAAGCACACAACACAGGATGTTTAAGGAAATACACACTGAGTATACAAAACATTAAGGACACCTGCTCATTCCATGACAGACTGACCAGGTGAATCCAGGTGAAAGCTATGATCCCTTATTGATGTCACTTGCTAAATCCACTTCAATCAGTGTAGATGAAGGGGAGGAGACAGGTTAAATAAGTATTTTTAAGCCTTGAGACAATTGAGACATGGATTGTGCATGTGCATCATTCAGAGGGTGAATGGACAAGACAAAATATTTAAGTGCCTTTGAACGGGGTATGGTAGTAGGTGCCACCGGTTTGTGTCAAGAACTGCAACATTGTTGGGGTTTTCACGCTAAACAGTTTCCCGTG